TCCATGGAAGCTTAGTTGGCATTTTCGGTATCATACGTTTGCTGCCGATGGTAATAGTAGCAATAACTGGTTTGTGACCAGAACCAGGATCGTCGCTGATGTCGCTTGAAGCCAGGAGTAAAACAGAATTTGTTCCGGTTCCATTGTAGCACAGACATGTAGCAGGATCCTCGTTGTAAATATATTCTAGTGGGGTGCTGTTAAGCATGTTTTCGATTTCCTCTCCAGCTTTGTAAATGTTCATATAGCCCAATCTGATGGAATAGGTGTTGAAGTCTCCTAATACTACAGTTTTGTGTGAGATGTTCAGAAGATCAAAGTTGGGATTATTCTGGGATGGATTATAGACTACATATATCTTGAAGTGGTATTGACATTTTCAAACATTTAATCTGATCATTTCGCACATATTTTGCGTCAAGTCCATACTCTTGATTCGAACGTAATGTGATAGGCCTTCTTTTACTCCAGTCAGAATTCCACTTGCAACTTGTCGGTATTAAAGTAGAAGGTATAAGGTGTAACCTGGGAATTTGCAGTATTTGAGTTTGTCATCCGTAATGTTTGCTTCCATGATTGTGAATATGTCCATACCATAGGTATTTAGGATTTTCTGGATTTGGATCTTCTTATCCTGTGGTATCCCCCCAGCATTCCACTGAAGGACCTGTAAAGTTATGATTCGCCTTGACAAGGCGATTTCGTTACAGGCTGATCATATTAAGTTGAAATCAACCGCCGAGTTATAGCCTTTTTGTCGTTTTCCAGGGTGCACCACGTGGAGGTGAGTCTATTGCACAAGCCTGAACGACAAAGTCTTGCCTAAACAACGGTTGGCACAGAAATGGCAATTTTCTATGATTCTTGCCCCATCAGCTTGTTAATAACACGCCGTCCTCCTTTTACGGTCGAGTAGCACCCATTTATAATGCACGTTAATGAGGACACCCGAATCCAGATAACTGTGCATAGCAAATCGCAATGACCCGGTCTGACCACCACTATTCCAAAGTTACCTAACATGTGACCTAGCCAAAATTTAGTTTGATCGATGTGAGTCCAAATGTTACCCATGTAGTTTATTTCAGTATAACAGGGAAAATCTTGCTATTTATCAAGACGTCTAAGATATTCATTTTGGAGTAGAAACAAACATGGAAATTTAGCTTCTGTCAACCACAGCAGTTAAATCTGTCTCGATAACAGGCACATCTACCTGCACATCTTTACTCCCAAATCCTACCATCTTTAGTTGTAGAGATTTAGTTAAACGGTCAATAAATCGGCCAACCAACACACTTCAGGCTAGATATATTTCTGTGAAGCAGTTCTACGTAACCCATTTTAGATATACAAAAGTATTCACAAAAGATACGTAAGTTGCTACTTGTGATGGGAATTAAAAATACTTCGTGCATCCAAATGCCAACAAAGATTAAAAATGAACTTTCAACAAGAGAAAATAAGAGGATAACCTCAATCAAGAAATAGGCGGCAAAACGTGCTAGCAACTAAGTGCTAGGCCGTGTCAAGTCACCAAAAATACACATAAAAGCAATTTAGATTTGGAAATCAAGCATAAAAGAACATAATGCATAATCCGTAGTCTAAGACGGTAAAACTGGAGCTTAAAATCAAAGCCCATAGACTAAAACAACTAAGGCATTCAAGAGCAATTTAAAACCATTAGATATTAATCAAAACACAATAGGTAGAAAATGTATAGATGAATTTATTTACAAATAAAAAAGAATAGCTACAAAATTACTTCAATCCCCCGCGTTTTTGTGCACTAATGTAGAAAACTAAGAAACAAGACTTAATGGGAAACCAAAAGATTACCATTATTTCCACGGATGAATGCGTCACCATATTTATTCTTAAGCTGGCCATCGACGTATTCTTCAGTTTGTTCAAGAACTACATTCATGTAGCCGTCAAGTGAAATAAGAACACCACGATAATCTGCGCCAGAGTTCAGCTTCACCGAAACAGGGCGGCCGATGATTAGTTTAAGAAAATCCCTTGGAGTTTGCTTTTGAGACATCTAAAATATACAGAGAAATTCAACTATAGTAGAGGCTAATACAAATTCATTTTCATCCAGGGTATACGGGAGGAAAGCACATACAGTAGAAAATGGAAGTGGTAAACGAAATTCGAAACAATTATAAACTAACGACTGAGAAACGTTTCAAAAGGTTGAAACCACGAGACTAACTTCGAATCACGGTTACTGGTTAATTTATTTCACCCGCCTTATATTAGAATGAACATTCATTCAAAGAACGCGAAAGTGAAATCACAAAAGCGTTAGTGGAAGAATATTTTTTAAATAATCCATATTTCTCATTTTTATTCTCTTTGCATTAATGCGTTGCGACAATTTTTTACCGAATATAATAATTTGAAATAAACACCTAATATTAATTATACTAAATGAGATTTATAACAAAGAGATAGAGATTAAGTATTAGAACAAAGATTGATACGGAAACAAGTGTTATTAAAGATAGAACTTGAATTTTATCAGTCAGCCATTACCTAGTTTTCCACATCCGTTGTAAAATTTTACTATTGAAACACGATAATTGAACTATTTAACATACTGTGCGATATTGTTCAGGTTATTCCACCCCTTATTTTGTTCATTTTGTTGAAAGCTAGAAATATTCAATAAAAATTATACTTATGCTTACCACTATTACATTTAATATTCCAGCGTAATTAAATATCGTAAAAAACCACTGTTCATTAGCGCGACTCAGTAATCAATTCTATATTAGGACTCTCGTTCTATTTTGACACGAAATTTAAAGCTTGATAATAGACAATTCAAGTATAAGCTTCTCAATAATGATCAGCTCAATCAAAATTTTTATTGAAATATGCTGTAGATACTGATCAACATCCAAATAACGAAATGATAAGAACGTGATTGAAGTTTCCTCATACTGTCCAGCTGTTTGCTTTCATTGAACTATACCTTTAGTTTATAAAATTACTACATTGTTATCAAGGTTTAGATAAGAAACACTCTTACAATATTAACACAATCAACTTTACATATTGGAAGAATAAGGGTTATTTTGGGGGAACTTTGCAATAGTGCTCACATTCGTTGACCAATACTGTTCTTACACACATTTCCCAATAACTTCGTAAAAAATATCGGTAACTCAATATTTTTTATTAATATCATTTAAAATAGGATTCCGATACAAATTTAATTGTGAAATTCGTTTTCCAATCTAAAAGGCTATAAAAATTTTTCTTTCGATTACTTAGTGAATATAATTATACACAAGTGAAGCAACATTATTTCGGATAATTTTTGTTAATGACGGAGCATAGGAATTTCATGATAGGGATTCGACTAAATACAAAGCTAGTATTCCATCCCCGAAGTTAGTGAATCAATGTATCCTCATCGAGAGTACTTAGCAAACGCACTCGTTTTTTGTTGGGCAAAGGAACTTTTTATTTGGCACTTAATTTTCTTATCAGGTAGTAGTTGTGTCTTTCCTGGTCGCATTAATTCTTGAATAGAGACATTGAAGGAATTTTGCTTTATTATTATGAATATGAAATTGTAAAAACTTTTAACAAAGATGCCTGAGCTGCTCTATCATAGGGATCAGTAAAATAGGATAAACTCTTAAAAAATTGAACTGATTTTTCACATTGAATTACAGAAAATGTGTGAAAAACATTTCTAAATTATTGTGTAATCAGCCTATATTAGTGCATTTAGATTTACAAAGATTGACAAAAAAGAATGTTCATGTTTTTTGACTGAAATCTCTTCCTATGTGCTTTATGTAACTAGGCGAATATTATTTTCAAAAATTATTTCCTAAGTAAACATGGCCTATAAATGAATGAACACATAAAAGGCAATGTACCAAAATTGAGTAGCTAAGTTACTAAGATTTAAGTATTCCTAGGAATTTACTTATTGAGAAATGAGGATATTTAACGAAGAAATCTAACAAAAACCTTATGATAGGAATTATAATAATGGTCACAATCATTTAAGATAAAAGTAAAATGTTAACTTTCAGGTTCATAAGCGTTACTTGATAGCAGATAAAACAAAAGTAAAGTGATAATAGGAGACAAATTTAAAAGGCATTTAATAGTATCCGGTTAATTTTTATAATTAATATCATAGAGCCAAATGAAATGGTTTTTGATAAATAATTATCTTTCGGAAATATATTCATGGTGGTAATATAAAATATGTACGAATATATAAGAAATAAATGGAAAATACTTTATACTATATTTATTCTTAAACTGTGCTATGCTAATTAAATTAAAACAATATTTTTAGTTATTTTTTTATAAATTTAAGATAGCATGATTATTGAATGTTTTAATTGTCTATGCTGACCTTGATGAAATACTATAGGGCCACTTGCTAGGTTAGCCTCGCAGTGGGCACGCTTTTTGTATCATTTCGGGAATGGAGGCATCTAGTGGAACTGTAGATAATTACAGATTTACTTTTTACTCTCCAAATGAAATAAGAGCTCTTTCAGTGCTGGAAGTTACAAATGACTCTATTTTTGATAGCTTCACGGGTCGGGTTATTGACCGTGGTCTGCACGACTTAGATATGGGCCCATGCACTGATAGGGATTTATGCATTCAATGTGGTTTCGACTATCTACAGTGTCCTGGGCATATGGGACATATTGAATTTTCAAAACCAGTCTACAATCCATTGATTTTTGATCTAGTCGTTCGAGTAAGTTCTCATTTAATCACTCATTCTGAAGCTCCTAAAATCCTTCTGCTTTAAATGCTTCCGGATTAATGAAGATCCCATCCTTGTTGGTTGCTTAAAACTACTCGGATTTCCAGGTAAAATCGATTTATATAATCTGATCCTATATTTTAGAACCCTTACTTCCTTACCAACCTAAACAGTCTGTCACAATTAATCTTACTGGCCTTTCTGTTTCTGAGCTTCGAAGACTAGCCCTCAAAGAGATGACAGCTACTTCTCGTACATTGTGTAAAAGATGTAATACTATATCATGGATGTCTCGTCATTTAAACCATCAGCAGATTGAAGTAAAGCCGGCTAAAGAAACCAAAGGCAGAATTAGTCGAGCTGCTAAAAAGAATGAGTAAGTACTACGTCTAATTTATGTTTGCTTCGAAATCCTTTGGTGCAAGAGCTATTATCGATTAGTTTGCTAAGTTAATGCTTACGAAAGTAGGTTGACATCCCCCCTTCTCGCTGTGCGTTCACAATCTCTCACTCTTTATGCTTATGCTTGAGATCTTTTTCATTGTTGTTGTAGTTAACTTACACTTCAATGCTCTGGTAGTGACTTATATTGTACTGTTTCAGTTGGTTGGTCTTCTTTTAAGTTTAGTGTGTTTTCTTCTCCTTGATTGACGTCGATTTCAATGTTAGTTTATTATATATATAGTTTTCAAGGTCCCCTATATTACAAAGTATTTTCATCACTAAAAGGTAAAGGAGGGCTATATTTTCAATATTTTTCAATTTTTATCAATACTACAGGGAGCAGGAGGAAACTTTTGAGCCTGGTGAAGTTGAAGTCTGGGCAGAACTTGAAGCCCTCACCAACCCCAATGCCGCGCGTCCTGTTGTAACCTTTGAAGAGGGCGTTGCAAGTCGTGAACTGGACGATTTACTAGAATCTGTTAGAGAACGGCTAAAGGAAATCTGCCCGAATGCACAGAAGTTTGGAGTTGTCACACCAGGTGAGTTATTTCGTAATATATGCGCAGTTAATTTCTGTGGATATTTTCAAAATTCGCCATTTTTGTTAAACCGTAAAAAGCTGTTCACTTTTGACCAGAGGAACCATTCTCTCTGCCCACTGGTTGGGTATAGGCAGTTATCAAGCTTGACAGAATTCCATTATTGACGGATATAAATTAATCACTGCTCTCCAAACCGAAAATTTTTAGCCTTATACTGCTTTTTGGATTGCTCAGAGAATTTATCTTACGGCTGTTGTGCTGGAATAGTAAAAGGGCAATCGTTGAATTGCTCTTGATGCTCTCTACTTACTTTGTTTCCTTATTTCATTACATACTAGTGATAACTAACGGTTTTTGATTCCTGTATGAGGCCAAGCATTGGTTCTGCTAACTACAGTCTACTTGCTTATCGTTTTGTATGGTGAACCGAGCTTTAAGCTAACCAATATATTGCGTAGAGATTCACTGTTCAGTTCCATTAAAAATTTTATCTATCCTAGTAATGTTGTCAATTGAATTTTTAATTATTTTAGTATGCTAACATACTTTACGAGCGAATGCTAAGTTGGCTGAAAAATTTTTTAGAAGCCACATTTGAGATAGAAGGAAGATGAAAAATGTCAATGAGTGGTCTATTGGTAGTTAGATTTCTTAGAAAAAATATAACTGTAGTTGGAATAACGGATATTCCGGAATTTAGCTTTGGTTTCAATCCTTATCAATGGAATATTATGGCTGGTTTTAGGTGCCTTTTTTGAATTTGGGGCAATTAATGATTCCTATGATACATTTTTCTAACCTCTTTGCAGATCTAGTACGGGATATGCTTCGTTGTGTTTGGATGCAAGATGCTGCTATTCTGCGAACTGTATTGCCTTTCCTCAATGCAGTTTCCTCAAAGTACCAGTATGCAACCGATGTTTTCTTTATGGATGTCATGCCTGTTTCCCCCAATATTTGCCGATGGGTAAGAGATTGACCATCGCTTTGCGTTCTTTTTATTTAGCGTGCTTGACCGATACTCTCAAAATTTTGATTTTAGCCAAAGCGACTGGGTGGATCTCCCTATGAGAGCTCGGTTACAGCTCTTTTATCACGTGTTCTAACTCGTTCAAAGAGGCTTAAGGAAATCTACGAATATCTTTCCGATAACAATTGGCTCACTCCCGATGGGCGTCTTAATGTGGCTGCTGTCGAGAAGCAAAGCATGGGCGATTCTTCTGCTCTAACACCTGCGCGTTCCATCGATGCTCTTAACGTAAGTTAAATGACACACTACTAATGTAATTTGAGTAAAAATATATTTACATTTTTTTCTAATTTAGTCTGTATGGGTACTTTTGCAAGCAGCTGTTAATGGGGTGTATGATATGACAAGAAGTGTACCACCAACGGGTCTTGAAAAACGACAAACAGCGGTAGCCTCCTCTAAGTCTCATCCAGGCTTCAAGCAACTCATAGACAAGAAGGAAGGTTGGTTTCGGGCGCGTATCATGGGCAAAAGAGTTCAATTTTCCTGCCGTTCCGTCATCTCCCCTGATCCAAATCTTTGTGTTCATGAGGTTGGAGTGCCTGTATATTTTGCTCAAAGACTGTACTTCCCTGAACGTGTCACATCCTTCAATATCGACAAACTGCGGGCTTTAGTAATTGCAGGTCCAGGCAAGTACCCCGGTGCGCTCGCTTTGGAATTGCCCGATGGAAAGGTTCAAAACATTCCTGCTGGTGACTCAGAAGAGGCTGTCAAACGTCGGGTCAACATGGCACAACGTCTCGTCACATGCCAACTCGCAATGCATAAAGAATGGCCTACGATTGTGAGTTCATTTTTGTACCAAAATTATAATGTGGTAAGCATTTTGAGAAAAGTATTAAGAATAATAAGTCTTAATATGTTCCATTATGGCAAACGGGACTTAGGGGTTAAGTTAGTTATCTGAGGAGTCAAATAACAGTATATTTCGCCTTCTTTATTCAAGATGGTAGATATTGACAAATTCCTCAAATTTAACTAACAAGCCACAGAATTTTGGTTGTTTTAAGCCTTAAAGTGATTGGAGGCTAGGATGAATCGTATCCGGTTGGAATTTACAATTCAGATATCTGATTCAATGACAATACTTTCAAAAGCATCTTTGGAAAAAGTAACATTGCTTATCCCTCTTAGCTAAGTGATCCAGTGGAGAAATCTTCCTTTTTCACGCATTCTTTTCCGTTGGTTATGCATCCATCTGCCCGAATACTATAAATTCTGCTATCTTTATAAATACATAGACACTATCAACCGGAATATCGAACAGTTGACTTCGTTTTATGCACTGTTTGCATAACCTTTGGTTTGCGTTCCGAAAATTGCTCCTGAGAGAGTAGTTGTATTATTTGTTAAAGCGTAAAGCTAAATTAGCTTTTGTATTAATTGTGGTATCTTTCATTTCGTAAAGATAATGACCCATTGTTTATGGCCCAGAACCAGTGGTAAAATCTGATCTCCGCTCATATCGGTCTATCGGAGCTTAGTTTACCGTATTTCTACTTTGTAGGTGCGTCGTCACTTAGAAGATGGTGATTACTTGTTGATGAATCGTCAGCCCACTTTGCACAAGCCCTCTATGCAGGCTCACAAAGTGCGCGTAATCAAGGCACCATGGGCCAAAACTCTGCGCTTGCACTACGCCATCTGTAAGGCCTACAACGCTGATTTTGATGGGGATGAAATGAATGGGCACTTTCCTCAATCTTATCAGGCGAAGGCTGAACTGACGCATCTCTGTAAGCAGTTTATATCTAATCGCATCGCCGTCTTTAAAATCGCGCTTATCTATTAACCTTCCCTCTTTCCTCTTTTTTTAGCTGCCGTGCCTTTTCATTACCTGGCTCCCAAGGATGGCGCACCACTAGCTGGTCTTATTCAAGATCACGTCATCGCCGCAGCTAAATTGACTATGCGTGACGTATTCCTAACTGAAGCCGAGTACTTCGATTTAGTCCATGGTGGTATTATTGCTGCGGTTGGAGAGAATGGTCTCATTCCAGACATCGCTTTAATGCCCCCTTGTATCTTAAAGCCTCAACGACTTTGGACGGGAAAACAGGTGATATCAACTCTGCTTATGAATATAGCACCCGATGGCCTTCCCTACCTCAGTCACTATGTGAAAGGGAAGAATGTGAAGGTGTCAATGTGGGTTGGTGGTAATGATGAGAGATCCCGAATTATGAATGATGTTGACTTGGTGATTGTGGATGGCTACCTGGCTTCCGGAATGTTGGATAAGGCACATATTGGATCGGCTGCTGGTGGCTTAGTTCACAGCGTCTATGAAGCATATGGTCCACATGCTGCCGCTCAACTTCTCTCGGGTATCTCACGATTATCGGATCGCTTCCTCAAGTCTTCGAGCTTTACCATGTCGATTGCTGATCTTATGCTCACTAAGGAGGCTGATAAGACGAGAAAAACACATTTTAAGGTAAGCTTAGGTTCATAATCCTCTCCAGTAGTAATTGACGCAAGCTGAAATCGACTTGTATAGATGTTCAGAGATTTTCTTAGTATTTATTTCGTCTTCCATAGGAATGACCTTTCAGATTATTAATTAAAACTTTGTTGGTTCATCGTTGTGTTTGGCGATCTTCACTCAGTAAAGCTACTGCACAAATTGTATCTGCTCTAGCGGAGGTTTGAACGGCATTCATTATGCACTGTTAGGCCAGTAGTCAATGGGGTTATTTCAAGATTAAGTGACAGGAAGCGAAGTGAAGGAATGGCCGACTATTGTTTTAAGTCTAACTTAAATGAATTACTGATGGTGGAATGAAAGTTTTTAAGTATCTTTCCTCTACCCACATCACCCCTTGAAATTCAAAGTAATATTTTGTAGGGTTTCTTGGAACGGACAAATTTTTTTGTTTCCATTTCCTTTATTTTGGAGGTAAAATATAATTATCAAAGTACACGCGACGATAGCAGCAGTAACAACTGCGAAATTTAATATAAAATTAATTTTGCTTTAAGCTATCTTCCCATACTCAGGATGGGAATTGAAACCTATACTCACATTGCATTAAAGCTTCGTACTTCTATACGCGGAAAAAAAATATTTATTAATAAATCAGCAGATTTTTTCTGTCTTGGGTTCTAACTTGCTTTTGTTGTGTGTACACAGGATTAACCGAAGTGATACTTTCACAATCGGTGAGATAATGCCATTAGGAAAATTCGGTTGTTTGCCAAACGGCGGGGAGGCTAAACTGACGGGTGAATAATGGATTCGTTTATCTTTATCACCGACTCGATACATTTTAGTTCAGATATTTGTGTTCTCTTTTATGCTCGCCTCTATTGGTCTTAAACGATGTAGGTTTGGGCAGGTGGCTTTATTCGAGGCAGTATTTTTAATTAGTCAAATGGTTACACCATCGATGTGTGTGTGCGTGTGCGGACGTTTAAATATTGCTAATTAATTAGAATCAGGAGGTTTTTACTATTGCCGACAGTAATTTTAAAATTTTGGTAAACATTTTGTTGCTGCTTTAAAGCAAAATCGCTTAAAGCAAAGTCCCATAAATGTTTAAGAGGGGACCTAAAAATTTTCTAGAATCAAATCCAGATATTATCTTGTCTTCATTTGCTTTTTGGTCTCAAGTTACTCGGTACTTACTGATGATAGTTCACGTCTCGTTTTTTTGTCATTCTTGATTAGCTTGTCCTACTACTAACATTAATGGACACAATGGTTATTAATTAATCGTGAATAAGCAAACCAACACCACTTAATTACATATCTGAGCCTTCTAGTCAAGTTGTCGAAACGAGTTCAAGTTTTCACTACGTAACCTAATTCAGGAACTTTAATTGGCATCTTAATAACCATTGTCTGAATTTTCAGAACTCACTGAGAATTGGTAAATAGATCGACAAACACTTTGCCTTTGGGTCTTATGGAAACAGGTTGTGTGTGTGAGAGAGAAAGAGAGAGAGAGAGAGCAAGCAAATGGTACCGTGTTAATAAATCTGTTCAAGTTTCTACCTCCATTAGATTCTATAACTTAAATGGAGCTAATTATGTAAAACTGAATCCAAGACATAATAATTTACAAATGACTGGGAATCTATTCAGTCACTTCAATGTAAGTGTAAGTTGCTAATGGGGACCAAGCGTTGATGCTGGTAAACCGGATCATCCTGTCAATTCAACGCGGGTAAGTTCTAGAAACTATTGATTTCTCCTAACCTGATGAAATATGCAAATATCAGTTTGATATGTCATTTGGCGCCTCTAACAATTCTGTTGTTTTGACACTCACAGCGATTGGACGCTCTCGGGTGTGCCGCCTTCTCGGAGACTTTTAACGAATCTTTAGAGAATCTGACAAAGGAGAAAATCTGCGACGTTTACAGAAAGGCACAATTTGCTAAATCCTCTGACGAAGCCTACGATGGGAAATTACCTGCACTCGACCAATCCTTGGGTAAACTCACCCACAAGGTACTTGATGACATCAATAAGTAAGACATTTGAAAATGCAGCTTTTCTTTCTCCCACTTATTATTTTTCGATTGCAATTCTACATTCTCTGCTTTTCATTCCAGGGTTGTGCTTCCATATGGTCTCTACAAGGAATTCATCTTAAATTCACTACATCGCATGGTTGCCTTTGGTTCTAAAGGTGGTATGGTAAGTTGTTGCGTATAATGAAAACATTTTAAGTTCTCAGACCTCCTTAACCTGTGCTGTTTCCATGTGAATAACTAATTAATTTTTAATTATCGCGTCTTTCGCGGACCGTTTTTACCGATAGCATAATCCCCTGACTACAGTAACCCCTTCCCGGTTGATTATGTAATCGTCCTAAAAGTTCGAATTCTTTTCCTGTTTTTTTGAACAAAACTAGAATCTCTATAGATAAGCTTGCATTGGTAACGAGCGCCGATGAGTTGCGTATCATCACAATGTTACCTTTAAGTAATTTGGCGATAAAAGAGCTATCCACGTCTGTCATGATTCCATTCATCACAGTTTAGGCGAACTATCTAAGCCCCAAATTTACTGAGCCAAATTGAAAAGCACATCTACCTACAAGTTGTTTGCTCAGACCATGTAATCTTCGCTCTTGGTGATTGTTGGAGGACACGAGGCAAACGGCTCTTTACTTTTCGCTTTCTATTTCCATCTTTCGTACATCTCGCAACTTTTGCACCTGCTTTTGTATCTCCACATATGCAAATCTGGTGGTGGCTGATTGAAGAAACCTTCTCATACTGACAGGTAAAGTCCCGAAGTGAGGTCTTTTCGTGCAATCGGGTAACTTTAAAAGCCGTTTTGTCGGTGAAAAGGCAATACCTTCTTTTCCCGTTAGAATAACGAATTGTTCACTTTTCTATTTGTGAATTATTTATTTAAAGTTAATGCTTACCACTCACTTAGGGGTGGAGGATTTATTATCTTTCAAATGGGTTATTATTTCCCTCACATTTTAAGGCAAAGAATTTGAGGCTAATTGATTTATTTCTGAAAATTCGCACTATAATGTTCAATATGACATTTCGTGGTCTAATAAACATTGCGAGCTCTCCGATTATTTCAAGTAATGGAATAACTATCTTTGTTTTAATTTAACCTTTAACTGTTCGAAAGTAAGCTGGGTTAGTAGTAGTTGACTATTCATGAATATCAAGTACCTCATAAAATCGATATTTTTAACGGGAAGAGGGGATGATGTTTTTTTTGAATTGAATTTTCTCAACTCGGTAGATCTTTTTCTCGACTTTTTTTGCACGTTGCCAGTCTCTGTCTTACAAATTCCAATTTTTTGCTTATCAGAAAACAGGAACATAATTTGTTAAATTGGAATAAGTTTTAAACGGGACGATCAACATGAACAGTTGTAATCGACGTGTATAATTATCATGTCATTACATTGGTGTTAATTGGAATATGACCGACCTACACATTTTATAGCATAATAATTGGTTCGGTCAGCTAAACGGTAATTAATTTCAACCTGACGAACAATCTCTTTCCACATTTCACCTTAAATGACCCTGGAATCTGAAAATGGAGTCAAATAAACGTGGCCTAATTATAACAGAGAAAATTCTTTAATCAAACATGCCATTTTATTAGATATTACGGTTTTCATCGTTCAAATGTCTTCCAAGGTGATTATTACTCTCCTCCATAAACCGTGCGGTTCATGCGTGGTCTTTGTATTCTATTAAGACATTGAATGAGCCCAATGGTCTTATTGGAAAAGGGATAGTTGGTTACAAATCTATTATTTACTAATGCCAACAGAGCTAGTAAACATAACGCGATTAATTGTTCTCAATTTTAAGAGATTTTCAATACATTTAAGGAAAATTTGATGATTTCCCTTTGTGAGCTTATCGCTGACATTTCTGATTTACGGCATCTAGTTTGCATTAATTGCGGGTTTTTCCATTGACGTGTCTCTTTTCTCTCCTCCAATTGGTAGAGTTGTGCTTATTTCACACCGACCTCGGGTCCTTTTGGTGTTGTGGATCGATGAGTCTCGAACTTGTTACCATCAAATTAACAGAAAGAACAGCATTTGCCTATTTTCCTTTCCTCATTTCCCCATTAAGCTTTTAATATCTACTCATAAGTTCCTGCTGGACTTTGAATTACTTCAAATATATCGTCGTGTCATGTACCACTTTTAGGTTATAAGCGTTATTTTTAATTACCCGCTATTTTTACATGTTCCTGCCTACAACTGTTTATTTTAAGCTATCTTTCTACAGAGAGCCTATTCGCATGTTGTTGGGCGGGGGATCTTTGAAAGCTAAGTATGTTGTAATTAATTTAATCCCCACTTGTTAATCATAAATTGTATTAATTAAATAAAATGCAGAAGATCTAGGTAATTGTGGTAACTATTTTCTGCAAGTCAGCAAAATAACGTGGGCTAA